TAGTTGCCCCACTGGATTGTATTGATTGCCAAATTGTTGGAATGATAGATTCGATTGGTCAGCAATCGTTGGTTGGTCTCTATTCCAAGCTTGCGATGGAGCTTCTCCATTGGACACTCCAGTGGATTGGTGACTTTCAGAGGCAGTAGTAGGTTGAGAAGTTGCTGGAAGCAAGGAGGCCAGAGTGGCTAATAGCTCGGGCGTTAGACTAACCCCGGCTTGTGGCATTGCAGTGTTAGGTACAGCAAAAGGCTCACTAGAAGGAGCAAGCAATGACTTGTGAGGAGGCTTCAATTCTTCCTGCATACCCCTGTTGTAATCAAACATGGCTCGGTCTTCCCTAGCAGCGTAAAAGCCGTGATTGGAATTGGCAGGCGAATCCCGGGAATGATCCATATAGGATTGAGGAATGGGATATGATTCTTGTCTGTACGATGCAGCAGCAGGAACTTGTGGTTGGGGCAACTTGAGAACAACACCATAGAGCCGTTCTGGACCAGGTACTTTGAGCACATCAGTTAGGAAATCTGACGGAGGAACCAAAAATAAAGTGGTTCCATCGTCTAATTTGGCAACACCTGCTCGATTCTTTGAACCAAGGTATCGGAGAAATTCAGTATAAGACGCGAAATCGTCTTCGCTGTCTGGTAAGAAGAAAACAATTTCAAATCCAATTGCTTCGGTGTAATGTTTGGCAAGCATATCCAAACCCGTTCTTGCTGAACAATTGACCATCTCAGGGCTATTAACCATTCGAAAAACCGAAAATCAGCAATCGAGGGCAGTGTTATCAATGAATCGAATCAACACTATGCAACCCATTTTGAGAATAGAAAGTAGACAACATATATCACCTCAAATATTATATCTAAAAGAATGAACAGATTGATAACTTCTCATCAATGAACCTAAAATTTTTCTATAAAAATGGAAAAGCAGAAAGGCTAAAGTGTGTGAAAATGTTACTCACAGTTCAGTTTCTATTCCCTTCCCAATGGGTACACAACGAGCATGACAAACAGGAGTTCCACCTTTGGCAATGATTCCTCTCCATATGAAATCAGTGTCAGGGACACCACGGCCGGGCCTAGCTGCAACTGAGCCACGGCCATATGACCTGTCCAACCCAGTGACACGATCATCTATACCCATCAAAGGAAAAGCATCCACTGATCCGTCTCTACGGGTTCTTTTAGGTTGTCTATCCAACTGAGCAGACTCATATCCTTCCCAAGAACCCCGGTTTGACCTAATGGGTAGCCTTGTACTTGGTGCAGGAGATGGGAGTATTCCAGCTCCAGTTGGAGACGGCCTCCTCCAGCTCCCTTCTTTACCAACCACATCACTATATTCTGGACCACTATGTGAACGCTCCATGCTACCTCGGAAGGGCCTCATAGGGTCAAGAACCACGTTGGAATGTGGTGACGATATGTATGGAGGATCATCGATGAACATCTCAGGCCTTGATCGTTTGACACCAGAATAAAAACCAGTATCATCTCCTCGTCCAGGGGGAATGTTATCATTTGAATACATTATTGTGATTCTTGGATCGTTGAATAACCTTCCCTGTAGTTCTTCCTTAGCACGGCGTGCTTCCACAACGCTCCTGAATTCCACAAGTGCAAAATGCCTTGATGGATAACTAATACATCTCTCAATCTCACCAAAAAGTATCATTGCATTGTGTAGCATTTGTTCGTCTATCTGAACAGAAGGAGGGTACCCAATCCACAGAACCTTACTTGGTTGGCCATTTCCTTTACCATCTCCAAATGAGTGAGGATACTGTTAAGCATATAACAATTAAAACTCAGGAATTTGGCTTTCTAAACTTTAAAGATCAAAGCCGATAGGATACACACATCACCAGCAAAGAAAAAAAAATCGACTTTCTAGCAGTAAGGCTAACCTGCTGTGTAGCACTCAAATTGCCATCCCTGCCATCGTTAGAGCCAGGCCATGGTTCCTAGAGAGAGAAGAGTGTTAATTGATTCCAGAGTGATCTAGCAGATTCTACAACGTAGATATCAAAAGTAAATGCAGAAGAAATAAGAATGGAATCCCTTGACATTAAATCAGATGATTCAGGTAAATATTCCTTCTAGGTGACAAGAAAGCTTCTACCCATTGAAGTCTTATACAAATCATGAAACTTAAAGCACTCGGTAGGAAGTTGTTACAAAATGGTTGCTAAAGCTTATTCCTATGTAAACAAAAAACTGACAAGAGGATGCTTACTTTTTTTGGCCCTTGTGACCGAAGAAAATCAACTCGCAAAAAACTACCACCCATTCGCTTCCCATTCATACTCTTTGCCTCTATAGCATCCTCCATGTCAAAAAAGTCAATAAAAGCTGTCTTGCGTTCCCTGAGAAATCTGAAATCTTCGATTTTCCCGAATTTCGTGAACTCCGCCTCCAGTTCATCCTTTGAGACACTCGGGCTGATTCCACCAACCCAAAGACTTTTACAAGGTTTTGCCTGCAATCAAATAATTTCCATAAGAAGCCAATATGATATATCTTAACATCCAGGTTGGCTCCTAGTTGCCATGAAGAAAATTTTAACATATAAAACATTAATGAACAAATCACACTTCAGTTACTATTTCACAAGGAGACCATTGTAAGTCATATCAATTACTACCTAAACACACAACATGAAGTCAAGAAAACCATTTCCATAAATAGAGGAGGACCATGTCATCTTCATAATCAACAAGAGCATAACATGGTTTTGCACAAAATCCTTGTGTTGATCATTTCAGATTTGGCTGACTACTATATAAAGCAACCATTCGATACTCAGTTGAGCAGCAAAGATCCTGGTAAGTCTTTCATGGTCTATAATAACTAAACCTTCCACCATGTTTGTAGCGTTACAGTTACGTTCTGATGGCTAGAGGAACTAGAAGGATTGTATTACTACGCTTCGAGGTTAAAACAATCCCCAAATCTCTCATTTTGATTCGGCACGAGAGACGTTTTGCACAATCTGGAAATTCTGGTATTCCCCAGGTGTAATCCGAGATGTGGAGTACCAAAGCTTAAGATACTGATACGCTTCGCTGGAAATCGGTATGCTAGCTTGCTAATTGTCACTGCAAGCATTCAACTTAAGTGTTTCAAGTGTACAAAACGGCTTTGGATACTCGAACTGACTACGCATTTGAAGTTCATAAATAATCTTATGAGACTGACATATAGCAAACTGTACATGTCACAAACTTCAGAGATCAGGACGCCTCCTAAAATGCTTTCCTGACCTGTTAAGCAAACCTGAACAGAGCGATTTACATCGCCTTACGATTATAGAATCACTCCGGCTGCAACGCATTTAATTTGGACTCAGTGTAAGTCTGCAAAGTCATAAACGAGAAAACAAAAAAAACACAACTTGGATACATTTTCACTGCTCGTTTGTGAATCGATTCAACAACAGATTTCGCGGGAAGCTCAAAGTTATCGCCTGGAGCAAGTTTGACCCATCGGTAACGTTAAGAACAATGGTAATTAGCTTTTTCTTGATCCATCAGCCACGACAACAGTTATGGATAACTCTTGAGTTTTGTGATTTTGATTGAGACAAGGCAAAAAAAAAAAAAAACACTAAATGCAACCATTTCTCGAACTAAACAAGCATAAATCACGACCAAAATCTGAGCAAGAATTCCCAATTTCGATCTAACCATTAACACAACATCGAGGTTAAGGAACAAAGGACAATTGAAACCTAACGTAACGCAGAGATGAGAACAAACCGGTCTCGCGAATTCGATCTTAATCTGATTCCCATTCAAGTTAGCACCTTGAAGCGCTTCCTTGGCAGCCACAGCTTCCTCRACGCGTCTGTAGTAGATAAACGCGAAGCTACGGGAAGAATACGCCGTGATTCTGTCGATTTCACCATACTTTCCAAACAAATCAGCTAGATCGGATTCAGTAGTATCCGTCGTTAAACTTCCGACCCAGAGATTGTTCGATTGAAACCCAGATCCATCTTGTTCACGTCCTCTCGAAGGCTTCATAACTGGAGCCATCGCCCAGACTTCCCAAATACCGTGAAGAAGAAATACGTTGGAATTGCGAGATTGTAAGACCGACTAGTGAAGTATGCTTCTTCAAATCCACAATTCAGAGAGAAAGTGTTGGAAGGTTGAAGAAGATACAGAGAAATTTACAGAGTCCAATGAAATGAAAACATTCTTTTTTATCGGCCAGACAAAAACGACGTCGTTTTGATCATTTGTGTTTCACTTTACAAAATTGAAAGTGTGATTCAACACAACCGTTTAAAGTTGATTTCCTTAATTTTGTTCTGACAAATTTGATCCTTTGACGTCTCGTGTACATCAACACGATAAGTTTTCAGATTTCAATCGAACCTTTTGGGGCATATATGTTACCACTAACCACATTGATAGCAAATAGCAAAATACAAAGTCTTGAAGTTGGTGAAATGAGAAAGACAACGAAAAAGTCTCTGAAATAATACTAGAAAATATTCAAAAGACAGCAAAAACAAAATCCCTTAAGAGGGCAGATAAAACTTCAACACTAGTTCTTGCAAGATCCGACTTGAAATGATCTTCAAAGGTCTTGCACACTCAAACCTGAAATAAAAAGAAATGTCAAAAGAAAGATTTTAAATTTCCAACTCAATTTCCAAAATCAAAACACTATTGTGATGCAAGAAGTTTCAAATGATGAAATTACTCAAAAGGCTAGTAGGATCTATTCATGTCAAAATCTAACAATGTTGTGATATAAAGAGTTTCAAGCGATGAAATTGCTGAAAAGGCTAGTAGAATCCATATATGCCAAAATCTAACAATGTTATGATACAACAAATTTGAATCCGTCAGACATTTTCAGGAAAAAAATGAAGGGAGCGACAGAGTATTGACCTGGAGGAAGTGACTGCTTAAGCTTATCGGCCTTCTCTTTGTCGAAAACACATAGTGTGTACAAGTACCTTGAGCACCTAACCTTGAACTTAACAAGCTCCTTGGTTCTCTTGATCTTCACAGACCTAGCATCCTTCCTCCTTGCTGTCAAAAGGAAGTCCTTGATTTCGTGAATTTGCTTAGGCTGCACAAATCAAAATCAAAATACCATTTCCATTCAATACAAACTCATAAACCCGAAATGTGTCAAGAAAAACTTATACGAACTTGCAACAAGACTATCTCATGATGTACTTACTGATAAACACTTCAAACATTCAAAAAGAAACTTAAACCAATAAAGAACAATGACGAAGAAAGACTCTTAATCTACTACCATGTTTTTAGAAACCAAACACGAAACCAACAATAAAGAAGATTACTTTCATCTGAATCATGCAAACTATACCAAAAATCCTAGTAGCGAGAACAAACAATCAAAATCCCAAAGACAAATTCGATACAGAACTATGAAACAGACAGTGATGAGCTAAGCAAACACATGAACTTCAATTTTGCTTCATCGACAAATGTTAAGAATCGAGAGACGATGAGAGCAAAAATACCATTGTCGGATCTGATTTTGTGGCTGCAACTTTCTTCCACTGAGAGGAAACAACAGCGTCGGGAAGTGATAAAAAGCCCTAAATATTCTCTTTAAGAAGCAAACCCTAGACGTGTCGCATACACGAATTTCCAAATATACCCCTTAGGCCCAGTAAATCCGATAATTTGACTATTGGGTTTGATGAATGGCCCAAATATAATACCCGAAGAAGTTTAGTTAGTTGTCTTCTTTATTTTTTGTTGATCTGCAAATTGTCTTTGTATTAGTGCTTCCTGTTATCATTTTGCAAATTTAAACCACACTTTTCACATTGGAATCGTATTATCTTTAAAAACTATAAATTTTTAGACCAGAACTTTTACATGTTAACAATAATAATCTAATATAATCTTCAAAAGCCAGACTTAAACCAGAATTTTTCCCAAGGGAACAATAATCTGTACCTCATAACATCTTCAAAAGCTTAAAACAAGAATTTTCAGATGGGAAGGATAATCATCCATCTCATAATATCTTCAAACGCTATCGATATCATCAATCTCCATGTCTTGTACCATACCATTACCATCATCACCTTGAGGGATCTCTGCGTTGTGGTGATAATCCTCATTGAAAGTGGTGTGATGCATGTGTTTTATGTGACCCTGTTGAAGTGCTATAGCCTTGTGGCTTTTACTCCAGTCTCCTCGGCTCCAAAGGTACAGAGGCGGTGGTATGTTGTTCCACTGCTCTATCGTTTTATCGTTTACATCGATCGACCCGGGTAAGTAGAATGACTATATATAGAGGAGAAAGAATGTGATCAGGAAGCTATTGGTGAAAACAAACAGCGAGTTGGATTCATTTGTAAAGCATACGTACCTTTCCAGAAAGTAAATTGGTGTCCTCCCAAATCAACTCATAATTAGCTATCACATCAACCCTGATATTGTATACAGAAGCCAGAGTTTATGAAAAAGTTTTGTCATTGAGACTGTGTATTTGCTATTTAGTACCTTTTTGTTTCATTTGGCACGATGAGGATTAGAATCTTCGGTTTAAACTCGAGGGCCTTCTTGATGAAATTGTTAGCAAGAGTGGCTTTGAAACCGAAAGGCGGGTTCAATCCCATTATCTGTTTTTTGTATTCATGACAAAAACAAAACTTAGTGGATTCAACAAATGCATCTCAACTTTAAGATGTTGTTTAGTTTTCTTACCAGCTTAGAGCCATCGGGTAATTCGTCTTTCTTCACAGTCATCCAATCTCTCTTCTCAAAGTTGAAGCTATTCTGTCATGGGAATGTCACAGTTTCAGAAACAGCTTCAACCAAAAAAGTAAAAGAATTGGTGAAGTACCTTTGCTGGAATGAGATCGAAGTTCTTGAAAAAACACTGTTTTCCAGTTTTCTCAAGTTTTTCTCTCATTATACAACTAAAGTCGTTTGAACCGCAGCAAAAGTCAACTACCATATCGCCATTTTGCACATACGAGTGGAGCCTCTCAACTATCTGCATCCATCAATTTCTAAATAAGTCCGGTTTCTAATAATCATCTCTAAACAAGTAGACTCTAATGGATGAGGATAATAAACATGAGTTAAGAAAACAAAAGAGATGAGTAGTTCACCTCTTCAAGCTTTGTAGGCTGTGTGAAGTGGCGACCGAACGATGTGTACCGATTACCATGGAGAAACGGCGAAAGATAAATTTCGAGCTGCCTCTGCAGTTCAAAAACATCATGAGAATTCCATCTGAGCAAATACTTAAGAGATAAAAAGATTTAGACTACTAAATATGATATAAAACCTTATGTTTCATGAGTTGGGGTAGAATATATGGATCAAAAACAGCTCTTGCCTCTCTATCCCGCCCTTCTTCAAACATCTTTAGGGCAGATCGAGCGGCCTGCAGAGCAAGTTAAGATTCAGGACAACAACACCGCTCGCTAAATAATATATATTCGTCTCACATAACAAACCGCAGTGACGTACGTTGACATGAGTCTGAACCAATCCTGTTGTGATGTTCTTGCCAATGTCATATCCGGAGTGGTAGGATTTGACTTGGTTTACCCCAAGAGAGTTGATGTACTCATCCATGTTAAACATAGAGTTCACTTGGTCGATTAGAGACATCATCCTGTGTAACCGCAAAAATAAATGATTAGATTAGTTGAAAGTTGAAACTAACAATAAGGAAACATTTTTCTGTATCATTGAGTGGCCAAAAGAACATTACCGCTGTTCAAGATCCTCGTCTGCTTCGTCATCCTCGGCAGAGGCAGAGGGACCATCTTCTTTCGACAGCTTTGTTACTGTGCTTTCCATCTTCCGTTTCTGAGTATAATCACTGAGACCAAAACTTTTTTTGGGTTTCTTCGATGCGTCAAAACCAAGACGAGCAAATAGACCCTCATGATGCCTATGCTCTGTCACCCTACTCGAAACATCCTCTTTCAACTGTACAAGCCCGTGACTTTGTGTTCTTCGTGGACCAGATATGTCAGGAAATATTAAGTGGTCTCTAGGTGGAGTAAGAAGATCACCTTCTATCTCATGGTCCCTGTTCAAAAGTTTATGAAAAGCTATACATCATGCACACCCATGATAGAAAAACTCAAACCAAGCAGGATATTTTTAACTTACAAACAATATATCAGAATGCGATTGTATGGAAGTAGTCTTTCCCAAGCCCTTCGTAATGTTTCCTCGTTACTGTTGAGTTCAGAAGTAATCTCCCTGAGTAC